CTCTTTCCTTGCTAGTCTGGAGAATCCCAGTATTTTGAGTCATTCCTTGTATGGAGGCTATTCCATATTTTTGATCATCCTTGTCAGTTGTTTTGTGATGTTCATTTTTTTACTTTTTGGACTTTCATCTGCCTTTTTATAGCCCAGCACTCAGCTTTATGAAGTTCTTGTGCAGTTCTTCACAGTTGTCTTTCATTTTTTTTATTACTCTGAATATCTTAATACTGCTGGCAAGCTTTGTCGCCTTATTCCTTGCTTGATTTTTCAGATTGCACACGAGTGTACTGAACACCATGGCCTGTTAGCAGACATCCCTATCAGATTTCCACTAGTGCTATTCTCCCACATAGAAAACCGATAATTTATTCTACTCTTTATTTCGTGTCTTGTGTCAATATAGGGATCATTCCTCTAATTCTGTGTCATGTTTACCTTTTTTTAAGGAGCATTGCTGAAGGACTTTGCCAAAAGAATTTGGTAATGGAGTAATTACATCAGTCAGATTTCCCGGTCCCCAGGCTTGCTGACTCCTTCAGAGAGCTATGATAGATCCTGATTTACCATGATTAAAACTTCCTTGACTCTTTACCAAAATATAATATATATCAGTCTGGCTGCAAGTTCTCTGTTAGGATCAAATGTCAGATATTCTGTAGGACGGTACACGGCTTCCCCCCAGAAACCTTTGAGAAAAGGGTAGTTACGTTTGCCCTCTCCCATTCCTACAGCACTGAAGTGATTCTAAGCAAGTCATTGCTCACTGCGATTGATAGTTAAGCTATTTCATACTTGAAGTCCTTCTAAAACTCTTAAATCTTACACAGTCCTGGTCTGCTCCTCTTAAGAAGAGGGATTTTGGTATGAAAAACTGTTGGAAATCTGGACTGCAAAAAATTCATCCTTTTTTTCCTGCTATGGACATGTCCTTCTTTGAACATACCTTTTAAAGTTTGATTATCAATCAGCCCTGCAGATTTTGAGAGGCATCCTGTTCCTCATGTTCAGAGAAGGACTTACTCATTTTTATGACTTCATGAAGTAATTCCTCAGACTCTCTTTAGAGATTTTTTTTTGTTTTCTTGCATACAATCTGTTTGAGTTTATACAGCATTGTGCTACTTTTTGCTGCCTATATAATTTCTTGGAATAGTCTGATCTGGGAAGGGAACACACATCTCTTATTATTGTTCTCTTTTAAAGCTATGGATGGTCAAGATTTGTGAGCAGATAGATAATTTTAAACATACAGGATGAATTCCACTCAAGCTAGTCATATGTACCTTATTGGATTGGAGGCATTCACATAATTATTTAGTCCTCAGTACAGGAAAGACATGGACCTGTTGGAGCGGGTCCAGAGGAGGACCACAAAAATGACAGAGGGCTGGAGCACCTCTTCTGTGAGGAAGGGCTGAGAGTTGGGAGTTGCTTAGCCTGGAGAAGAGAAGGCTCCAGGGAGACCTAATTGCAGCCTTTCAGTACTTAAAGGGGGCTTATAAGAAAGATCGGGACTGACATTTTAGTAGGGCCTGTAGCAATAGGACAAGGAGTAATGGTTTTAAACTAAAAGAGGGTAGATGTAGGTTGGGCATAAGAACTTTTTTAAGATGAGGGTGGTGAAACCCTGGCACAGGTGGCCCAGAGAGGTGGTAGATGCCTCATCCCTGGAAACATTAATTGTCAGGTTGGACGGGGCTCTGAGCAACCTGATCTAGTTGAAGATGTCCCTGCTCACTTCAGGGGGGTTGGACTAGATGACCTCTAAAGGTCCCTTCCAACCCAAACTATCAAACTATTCTATGAATCTATGTTACAGAGCACAAATTTGTACTTCAAGGGAAGCTGGGTTTTATAGAACAAACTCTTAAAAATTTTTGTAACTGAACAGAGGATATCAAGTTAGCTCAATTGCTATAAATACAAAATGGACATCACTCTCCACAATTTCCTATAGAAATTTGATCCTGTGACTTGTCAAGTAAATGGCAACTTGAGAGTTTGAGAGCAGAGATGTGACTGTCGTGTGGTAGAGCAGATGAAGGTAGCAATACCAAGTGACCAGCCTTTTGCCAGATAAATGTTTGAAATGGGAATATTTTCAGCCCCTTTGCGCAAACTGGTTCTTAAGCGGCATGGGATCATGACCAGCAGACAAGTACACAAATTTGGAAATATCTTGGTATGTCTTGGGAATTGGGAAGAAGGTGGCTACAGGTTAACCCAAGCTGGGTCACGGCTGGCATTAAGCAAGCATCAAAATTGCAGTGATTGGGTCCTTCAAATTCTGCTCTTTCGTATATGCAAGCGATTCCAGGAACTTTGTGGAACCTGTGGAAATATATGTGAAGGAGAAGCTCTCCCTGAATGTATCAAGAGGTGTTTTGGGTGTTTTTTTGTTAATTAGTCAGTTACAGCTGCAGTGCTCTCAACCATACCGTAATTAAAAAGCGTTAACAATATACTCCCTTTTTAGCTGTTTCTCAGTAAACACTGATTTTCAGCAACAGTGTATCAGAAAGATTCCTGTAGCTGTTGTAACAGTATTTACATTTGTCTCTAGAGTGATGTTTGGATTAGTAGGATTTGTAAAATATTTAAATTATTATTTAAACAAAACTGTCTGTGTAAGACTGAAATTGTATTTAAAATGATCCACATTTTTAAAATCTAAAACAGCTGGTAAAACAAAGTTATATTTATCTATCATGCATTCATTCTTTTATATAGAACTGTGTGCTCTTATCTTCCAAACTTCCATGGCTACTACTGGTTCAGAGAGTAAATCATTAGACCTGTTAATTTAAATTCGTAGATAGCAAATTCTGCATAGCAAGATGTGCGTGAAAGTGAGAACACAGTTGAAGTCTTTTTTTTCTTCTTTCTCTTCCTGAGAAGCTGTATGTACACTTATACACTGAATTAATAAAGGGCAGGTCAGAGTAACAGTCTTTTGGTCAAAAGGAGAACGACTGTGCAGTAAAAGCTTATGGATTGAGATCAAAACAGCCGTTTCAAGTCAAGTTCAATGCACGTTTTTATGGGCAAGATAGATAAGCCTCATAAAGAAATGGCTTACGGAGAGTATCTTAACTATTGAAACTTTAGAACTCTTGCTTATTCCTCTAACATATTCGGAACATTAGCTAAACCACATTTTAGGCAGTATGGGACAAATTACATTTCTCCAATTGCTCTGAATTGATAGTCAAAAGTATGTGACTGCAATTAACGTTTCGATGAGAACAACTTCAGTGTTTATGTGTAGGGAACAGAGCAGACTGGTCACAGTATGACAATTTCTGCTTATTGATTTCCACCCCCCCCATTTTAGAGTGCTATGGGGTAATATGTAAAGGTGAACAAAGGAGAGGAAGAGAATGTGTCTGTAGAACTGAAATAGTGATCATGCTTGTACTAATGTGAAAATGTGAATTAGTGATTTCTGATGAAGGTAGCTTTTTATGAACGTTCATACTGTGTGAATAAATATTTGCAAAGCTTGTATTCTCTGGTACTGTTAAAAAGATTAATGTATTTAGAAGTTTCATCTTGTCTCCTGTCTTAGAAAATGTGATGTGCTTGCTGTTTATGTGGTGTGGTTTTTTTGATAGGTCACAACTATGGATATTTCATCTAACAAAGATGAGGAAGAAAACTCAATGCATAATACAGTTGTCCTCTTCTCTAACAGTGACAAGTTCACTCTCCATCAGGTTAGGATAATAGTTACTGTGTTTTGATTTTGTTTCTCTGCTTTTAATTAGCAAAAAGTAAATGAATGTCCTTGTTAGGAGTTAAATTACACAGCAAACTAGTTGGATTTTACAGTTACATGTTTTCAGAATTTAGTGTCTGGCACGTGCTGAAAATCTGCTGGTTTCTATCATTTCAGGATATGTGCGTGGTTTGTGGGAGTTTTGGCCAAGGTGCTGAGGGCAGGTTGCTTGCCTGTTCTCAATGTGGTCAGTGTTACCATCCATACTGTGTCAGTATTAAGGTGAGTGCTTTCGTTGCATAAAAAAATTACTTGATTGCACCTTTTTCATATTGTATTTTAATAGCATTATGCTGCCTTGGTTTTGTGGTAATTAAGGGAGTCATTAACTTGTTAGATACTCATCAGCTAATGTGACCATTATTTGTATGCGACTTGTGAAAGACTTTAATTAAATGTCATTTTATAGTATGCATTGCCTCAAGAGGAATTAACCTTTTTGTAATTTCACAACCATAAATAGCACTGATTATCCAGCAGTTGGTTAAAATAACAGTTTGAGATATTAGCTTAAAACCTAAATATAAGCAGAACTAAAAACAGAGACAAAAATTATACTGCATCTTTCATTTACTAGGGGTATAAGGTTTAGTTGATTCAATTTGTCTGTTGGCTGTCAGAATTGACAGCAGTTGGAGTGGTTAATTAATACATTTTACATTCATTAGTCTAGGAGAGAACGTGTGAAAATGAAATTTGAATGGTATGAGATGACTTAGCAAGCACATAATAAGCTATTTACTGCAATATATACACCATACACTCTTTACTATGTAAGTGCATCAATGTAAAAATGACATTTTTTAAACATGCCACAAAACATTATTTTAAATGTACTTTACTAAATGCCATATACATATTTCCTGGAACTGTAATTTGGCTTTGCATTTATATACTACTCTTACATTATATCTTAATTACAATAAAGTAGTTGTTTGCTTCAGATGACTAAGACCCCAGCGCTGGTTATCACAGGTAATTTAGGAAAGATACAGGATTTGTAGTGACTTGAATCCTGGCTTTACTACGTAGCTGAAAAAAAGCAGCTGTATGTTCTTCCCTACAGAACCAGCTACACCTGTAAGGAGTAAACTGTCCTACGTGTACATCCAGTGCAGTATATATTCTCTGGTATGCTAGTTTATCTGAAGAAACAGTATCAGCTATCAGTAATTACAGTTCCTTTCTGTTTATTCCATTCCCGTTTATTGAAGCTTCAGAAAGTCTAATTGATAAACAGCTACTTGTGATGTGGATAGTATGCACAGAAGAGCACCCTGTGCTCCGCTAGCCAGACCGTAATTTATACAACGATCGCACTTCATAGAGCAGTTTTCAAATAATTTTCACCTTGCCATTTGCAGATTACTAAAGTGGTGCTTAGCAAAGGTTGGAGGTGCCTGGAGTGCACAGTGTGTGAAGCCTGTGGGAAAGCGACAGATCCAGGAAGGCTGCTTCTCTGTGATGACTGCGACATCAGCTACCACACGTACTGCTTAGATCCGCCCCTGCAGACAGTTCCGAAGGGAGGCTGGAAGTGCAAATGGTGTGTTGGTTCTGGGGTCAGAAATACTGACTGGTGGCCTCTTTTGTTTCTTCTTGTCACCTCATATTTGCAATGTCAATTGAACTGTAATAATGTTTTAATTGTATTTGTCAGGTGTATTAAACAAAGGAAATAAAAACACTTTTGAATTGTTTTATTCAGTTATCAATTTAGTAGGGAAATTGTTACCTTAATACTGTTTCTTCATGCCAAAAACCAAGTAAGTAGGGATGGACAACATTTTTCTTTTGAAACTCTTAGCCAAAAAAAAAAAATCCAATTTACGTTCGTTGGAACATTCATTCCAACGTTCAGTTGGAAAAATGAAAGGGCACTTCAGCAAACCATTCTCAAAATAAAACCCTCTGAAAACCATTGATGTTACTTGGGTGAATCAGAGAATAGACCTCTCACATGGTTAAGTCTCCATATCTCAAAGTGAATGGCAACTGGGAGCAGGAACTCCTTTGATGTGTTGAGCTTAAAAAGTATAAATAATGTTGGTAATTTTGGAAATCTAAATAATACATTTTCATTCAATTAAAATACTGTTTGACCTGAAATGAGTTTTCCTCTCCCCCCCCCCCGCCCCAAAGTGGTTAGTGAACTAAAACTTAATTACTTACCCAGTTCTAAGTCGGAGGATTTTAAAGCCACAAAATAATTTTCCTGTGGACTCTAAGTAATAGATCATTTTGTCTGTTCTGCAGGTGTGTTTGGTGCAGACACTGTGGAGCAACTTCTCCAGGTTTAAGATGTGAATGGCAAAACAATTACACGCAGTGTGCTCCCTGCGCAAGTTTGTCTACCTGTCCAATCTGCTATCGCACTTACCGGGATGAAGAGCTTATAATTCAGTGTAGACAATGTGATCGGTAAGGATTTCTAATAGTTTACAGGTTTTTCCTGTTTAAGGCTTATTTTAATTTTTTTCCCCTAATGTAAAAGCGTAAAGATGAAGGGAATAGTCTTGTGGTAAAGAGCACTGGATTGAGTCTCAGAACATTTCTGTTTGTACCACAGACTTAATTGTACGACTCTGGGCAAATTAATTAATCACTCTGTGCCTCATTTTCCCTCTCTGTAAAAATGAAAACTAATTTACCTCACAAGACTATTGTTGTGAGGCTAAATCCAGATTACACTGTATGAAGTAAGTAGTTAAAATGATTGCGATATAGGGAGAAAATTATAATATTAAGATGTATTTGCTTCCGGGACATTGTTTTATAGAGATTTCCTTCCTGTGAAGGGAAATAGGTAATCTGATACTGTATATACAGTATTTAACACACACCACAGTAGGGGAATGCTGTATATGGAGAACCTGATTCCTTATTTCTCCCTAAAAGAATTTAAGCTAAACAAGTATTTCACATTTACTTGGACCATATACTGATATTTGGGTCTCCTAAAACACCACATATTTCCTTTAAATTGTATTTTTTCCCCCACTTAATTTCTAGATGGATGCATGCAATCTGTCAGAACTTAAACACAGAGGAGGAAGTGGAAAACATAGCTGATATGGGTTTTGACTGTACCATTTGTAGGCCATACATACCACCAACAAACGGTAAGAAGACAATTGAAACCAATGGCAGGATTGCACACTGCAATAAATAGGTTTGGGAATGTGTTACGGTTCTTTTCTCTGGTGGAGATTTGGCTCATGGTAGAAGTAAGATATTTCACGTTTATTTTAAGGGCCCTTCTGGAAGTGTCCTCAGCTCTTTCGCACCCTCTGCTGATTGGCTGCAAGGCCAAAGAAAACCTAGTAGAGGGAATTCTGGATAGATTTATTGAAGATAATTTGCATAAATGACTAAAAGCATTTGGTATTGAAAGTGTAAAAGACATCTCACTTTGTGAAGTGGAAGGAAGAAAGCCCAGTTCTCTGAAGTGCAGAAGAAGCTGAAAATCAATTCTAAGCAGAAAAAATTTATATATTTCAGTACTTTGAGGCTGTCTGAAGCAGCAGTAGCTGTAACAGCAGTCTGTATAAGCATCTTTCCCCTCCTCACTCATGTTTTATTAATGCCACTCCCTCAGCTCTCCCAGTACTTAAGACCAGTGCTTCCCTCCCAAGCTGCAGTGTTTAAAAGAATTTGCTGTATTTTCCTGCTCAGGAGTCGCAACTTTCTTGTTAAAATGTATAGTTCTTTCTGATGAACTTTGCTCTTCTCGTCACATGTTATCAGTGAATATATATACCAGCTTTCTCATTAGTCTGTATTACATAGTTCTATAGCAGTGGGACTTCAGGAGCTGAGATTACTGCAGTTTTCTCTTTAGAGCACAGCTACAGCATCTGGTTCTGTGGGATGGTACTGGTTAATGTTATTGTGAGTGGCCTGTCAGCCATTAGATTGGCCTATTACATGATTTATGGTCTTGCTACAAGGGTGGTATCCCAGGTCTGTTTTCTCTGCATGTCAAGTCATGGGAGTTTCTGCTTCAATCTGCTACTTTGAGAGAGTGTTTACACCTATATCTAGAGGAATAGCATGTTTAAAGTATTCGTATTAACCTTTCTTGGGGTATCATGAGAGTATGGTAGAAGGAAGGTACAAGAACTAAGCAAACGTTTCAAGAAATGTTTGTATCCACCAAGAAGATGTCAGTAAGATTTGCTTTCCTGATCAAGACTTAAGGTATCATGAGGTATGTGTTCAAGAGGTCTGCCAAGAAAAGTTCAGTAGAGCATCTAATGTCCCTTTACACTGGCATGTCCCCATAACAGCGTGGCAGTAATTGTAACTTACTGAGGTGACCTTGGAGGTTTACATGGTTGTGGAACACTTCCAAGTATCCCACTTTTATAACTATTAGAAGTAAGAATGACTTATGCTTATGTATTCCTACAAGTTACTTCATTTTTGAGTTCTGCTTTTACAAATTCACAAAGAGGTTTTGTAAGTGGGAAGAATAAGAAACTTGCAGATGTAACACAGGTTTTTGTTACTTTGATATTAAGCTTTGGGCACTTAAAACAAAAAGGTCCAAGTAAGAAATACTGCCTCTTCCTTTCTTTTCCAAGCTGGCAGAGCTACCTTTTAGAGGTAATTAAAGCCCGTAATACGTGAAACAGAACAGCTTCACAGGATGGTATTGGAGCTGTTTCACTTCCAGGCGTAAGCTGGCCCCACAGTTAGTCCTGCACACCTTCATGAAGTTGTGTTGCTTGAGTTTGTCTTACGAGGAATAGGAACCAGTCCTGCAAGACCTGTTAGGGAGTTCCCAAGCTTTCTTTGCGGTTTTTTTCACGTTTTTTTTTAATAAGACAAATTTCTCTTATGCTTTCATGTTTTGACTCAGTATATATAATACCTCTTGAACACGTGTACATTTGCACAGTTGCATGTCTGAATACGTCATTTGATGCATGTTCATAGAAATACTTGCATGTACTTTTATATGAAATGTTTTCGATCTTTCATTAATTCTTCTACAACTCCTTTGAAAACTTTCTATATTTTTTTGTTTTGAGTTTTTTTTTATCAGTTAGCATTTGATAAACTTAGAGAAACAAATGTTAGTTAACAGTAGAAAGCTTCTTAAAATGCACCATATTGTGGGATTCTTACTGGGATGGTTCTTGCTCTTTCCATCTGATGTATCACAGATGTGTTGCAAGTATTATTACAAGCTTTTTAACTACTTACTTTCTAGAAGAAGCAAGAGCCCCTCAACTTAGTAAATTACCAATATATTGCAGGTTTACTGCTGGTAAAGAGTAAATACTTCTAGCATGTAGGTATTGAGAAAGAGCTTCCATTTTTCTTGCTGCAGAAAACAGAAACTTTTACATTTGTAAGAGCTCTTCCCTGTCTCATCTTAAGAACATCAGATGCATATCTGATAATCTTACAAAGCCATCTTCAGGAAACAGAAATGAAAGATAAAAAGTTCTTTTTCTTCTTGAACATACGTAAATATCAAAAGCCAGTAAGATTTGCTGCAAAGTAGTATACCATAAACCCTCATTACTAGATTCTTCTGAAATAATTATCTCTGATCAGTGTTTCATCAGGTTCCTTTTAGTATGGTCTCAAGTTACAACATACATCCCCCAGCGTATTGCTGTGTTTTTCTAATTTAGATTGCTTGAATATTATAATGACTGGGTACTAGCAGCTTCTCTAGGTAGCAGCAGCTTTTCCTCTGTGCTGTAATTCCTGCACATTGAGGAGAGGTGTGTGCATCTCTCATCTACACTCACTCCTAGACAAGTGGTTCTTGACCATCTACCCATCACTTCCGCCTTTCTATCATTTGACCTTGCATGTCATATGACCCATCTGCAAATTGCATCCCTTTCTCACTTACTCCTGTCCTTTCTCCATCCACATTCTCCAGCTTCCTCCTCCCTTAGTGCTGATTTAATTTCTCTGCAGGAGGCAAAGGGACCAGCTCTGCCTGGTTTTCTTTAGCTAGTTAGAGCTGATCTGGTGACAGTTGCTGGTAGCTGCCCGTGTGCAGGTATTCCTCCTGTGGCTCAAGTAAGCATGCCCACAGAGGCAGTGAGGACTTCGTATCACTTACTAATTCAGAGATGCTCGATACTGCCAGTGGTACGCATACTATGGCTGGGAGCCTCTGTTGTACAGTTTTCATGAAACTGAGTTAAATTTTTCTTCATTCAATTCTTTGTACTTTACAAATACAGGATACGAAAGCAACATAATACTATATGTTTAAAAAAACAACTTTTGAATTTTTTTTATTATTTAGCACGTTTATTGTGTCAGGTCTTATGTTCTTGTAAGTTACTGTATTTACAAAGAAATCCCTGCGTCATGCACACAGTTATGCAGGCGTCCAATGGTGCTCTGGTTAGTGTTGTGTTTCTACATGAACCATTTTGCTCTGTCCCTTACGCTGATTTAATTTCTTCCTAGAATTGTTCTTTTCTATTACAGCCTTACAAATGGCAGCTCCCTTTCTTTTTGAAACTGTGGTTCTTCTCATCGTATTGTATTCTGTGCAATTGCTTGTTTTCAACGGAAGCTACTAAATGCTGTATGATACTCAGCATGTTTAAACCCTTTTGTAAATAAGCGTAATAATTTTGGTTAAACTTCAGCTAAGTGCCTCAGAAAGCACTTTTTTGTTCAATTTTTAATTTTTTTCCCCTTGAACAGTCTTTCTGTAACAGTACTCTGTTTCTCTGTTATCCATTTTATTGATTTTAATCCTTAATCTGCACTCTAATTAGCTCCTTTTCTGGAAGTCTGTTTGATACTGTCTTCAAACACTGTTTGTTTGTGCAGCTTTTGTGAGTTGGTCTCTGAAGGCCTCACCTCTGTCACTATCAGCTTGTTTGTTTGATTATTTCAACTCTATTCAGTCTCCAAAACTAAAATTATTCACAATCCGACCTGGACCAGAAGAATGCTCCCTGTTGTTTGACTTTTAAATAAGGATTTGAAATTTCTGTTCACAGCTGTCTTACTGAATTTTTTGTTTACCTTGGATTCCAATTCAATAATTGCTTTCTCTGTCTTAAAACATCTTGTAGATTATAACCAATTAAATGAACAGATGACATCTTACTCCACTTTGAGTATTACTTACAATCTGCCTTTTTTCCTGTTGTTCCAGTTCAGTGCTTTTGAGTATCTTCCATCCTGCAGCTTGGCCCATATTTTTTTGTTTCCCTCCAGCTCAGTGTCTCTTTCAAAATCTCATTTTCAGTTTCTTTTCTTCCTTGTCTTTCCCTTCTGCTCCTGTGTATCAGTTTATCAGTAATTCTTATGGGCTGCTTTCATTTACTAATTGCATGGAATACTGTTTTTTTTGTAGGTTATATACTCGAGTTACATCTTACATAAAACTTCTAAAGGACTATAGTTTTTTGAAGACAGGCTTTCACTTTCCTTAAGTTTTTTAATATGCTTAGCAAGCATCCTCTAGATTTCATATTCATTATTGTATTTAGCAAAGAGTTTAAGTGGTACTTGGAAGCTTTTGGGCTTTTCCTAGTCTTGCCCCCGACTCCCATATTGTGTGTGAGATGGTCAGCAGCAGCATGTGCAGTGAGTGCTCTGACAAGTCTGAGAAACACTGAACCTCCCACACATGCTTTGCCTCAGTGGTCTCATCTTGTGTGGCAGATGCAAAGTAAATACTCCAGATGTTTGTCTGAGTCTTAAATTCAGCGCGGGTAAGACTTCTAGGGGAAAAAAAAAGAAAAAAGTGTGGATAAACTTGACTATGTGGTAATGCTAACCATGCCAAAATAACAGGTCTTCTGATTCTAGTTCTCAGTGCTTGTGAGATAGAAGCTTCTGATTTTCACTTTACTTACTCTGTCTACATAATCTCTGTAAAGTCACTACTAATATTAAAAGACTAATCTGCACATCACAGGTTAGTGAAGTGTGATTACAGTTACTGTAATTAAGGCAGATAGAAAGAGCATTTCTACCCACAAGAGTAGCCTAGTGTTGTAGGACATTTTGATCATTATTTGTTCAGACACACTGTTCCAGTGCTTCCCTGAAGCGCACAAGCTGTAGATTTTAAATTGAGTTTCTGCTGTTCCATTTATCGATATTCTTATCTTGAATAAGAATTACCTAATCTAACTTCAACAGGTCATGTATCATCTGTTCTCAGATACATCAGCCTTATTTTGTTTCTCATACGTGTTGTATAAGAGACCTGACAGCATAGACACAGCTGGAATCTTTTGTGCGAAGCTGTCAGAGTGTGCCTGCCCCGCCTTGGGGAAATACAACAGCAGTTGATACCAATTCACAAAGCCCTCCCATTTTTCACGCTTAGGACAGCAAAACCTGGATGTCATGACTAGTGTAGAGCTTACTTTCCAATCCAGTAGATCCAGTGTATTCGTTTGTCCTTGCTCCAGTAGAAGGAGATCATTTACCATTGAGTTCAGGGCCATTCCAATGCCATTCTTGGCTCTAGTAAGTTGGAGAACTTCAGTTTGTATCAGGCTTGTTTTGTAGTCACATCTTCTGTGGCGCTGAAAAGCACTTTATTTTCAAGGTGCTAGTGGATGTTGCCAACAGTGTAAGTTAGAGAGTGCAACAGAAGTGTTTGAAGGAAAATTAATTGATAGTTGCAGTTTAAATCAAGTCACCATTTTTACAAGTTGAAATTATTTTCCTTATATTTTTCAGTGCCTTCTTTGGACTGTTGTGATTCATCAGTTGGAGCTCAGATTATTTCAAAATCAAAAGAACTAGGTAAAGAATGTAAATGCTTAATCTTTGATCATTTAGCATATTTTAAGGGTATATTTTTACATGAGACAAAAATTCCTTTTTTTATGATTTTATAACACACAGCATTAACTATCCTTCAGTTACTGCAGCATGCTTTTCATTTTTTTTTCTCATTCTCTCTTCTTTCTTCTCTTTTGCCTGCCATACCTGCACTATAATACTTTATGCTTTGATCCTGCAGACTTAGTTGCTTGCCTTACTATTAGCGGTGGTAACACAGTGGGGCTGAGTCAAGCATGTACACAAATGTTTACAGGCTCAGGCTGTAGGAGAACACAACTTTTCTGTATTTGTCTGGTTTGTACTCGGAATTTATAATCTTGACAAGCCTACTCACAAGTCACTTTGTATGATAGTACCTGACAGCTTCCATCACGTTAGGACAACTTCCATCATGTCAGAACTTTTTTCCATTTGATACCGCACAAATGTAGTTCTGAGAGAAGGTTCTCCCTTCAAATCTTCAATCTGAAAAAGAGTATGCCATTTTTTTAAAGCAAACACCATTTTTTAGCTCACCATATGAAAAAAATCATCTGGGAAGAATTGTGTTCAGAACCAGCAGTGTTTTGAGGTGCGAGATGTTACATAAGAAAATATTTTTGGTTAAAGGGAACAAGAGTTATGATGTTTATATATTTTCAAAAACTGTGTTATCAAATCATTATCTAATTGGCTCCAAAGAGCAGAAGCATCATTGCAGCCTCTTCATTATTTGGTAATTCCCTGAAAGTTCCCAAACCTCCACTTGCAGGGCCCCAGCACAGGTGACAGCTACATGGTGAATTAAGGAACGTTAGAGTTCATTGGTAGACTCAATTGTCATGTAACAGCTTGAGGAAGAAGCAGTCTTGCAGGTCTTGGGAGACTTAGGTTCTACCCACGATTTCACATTGATCTTGAGTAGCTCACTCAGAATTTTATATCAAAGTTGGTTTTTGTCTGCCTGTAAAGTAGGGCTAATACTTGCCTGAGTTAGCAAGAGTTCTGGGAGGCTTAAGGTCATTAATAAGATGAAGGTACAGTACTGAGGGATGGGGTTCTTGGCTGATGAGCAACAGGGACCCAAAGTAAGACTTGCACAGTTTTCTGTGATTGCCAGGGAAACAGAAATACCCTGCAAGGCACCAGTTTCCATAATCAAATCATTCTTTCTAATGAGTCCTTGATGTAAGTTGTTTTGTAGCAGTATAATGGGTTGTTGCTGGATTTGACATCAGACTCTAAATTATAAAGCTGTAACTGTAATGTGTAAGACAGTATCAGATATCTCTGTTCTATTTATACCAATTTCCTCACTCATGAATCAGCTCCATACATGTGGATTATTAACTCTTAAAAGTACTATTCCTAAAAATCTAAGACTTGTAAATTAAAGAGCTTTGTATTGCTGTTATGATTCATTTAACTTTTATAGACCCACCGAAGACATACACCCAGGATGGAGTCTGCTTGACAGAATCCGGCATGTCTCAGTTACAGAGCCTAACTGTTACAGTACCGAGAAGAAAACGGACGAAACCAAAGCTTAAACTGAAGATTATAAATCAGAACAGTGTGGCTGTGCTTCAGACACCCCCAGATGCCCAGTCAGAACACTCAAGAGATGGGGAGATGGATGACAGTAGAGGTAGCAGTCTACTTTTGGCATGTCTTGTATCTTGGAGTGTTGCAGTACATGTGTGTATTGCAGATATCCCTGGGAGTTTTTATTATACTGATACTCATATGTTTGGTACAGAATGCTTTATGGAAATTACTTGAACAATAGTCATGGCTCGTTGTCCATTTCAGGGATTTTTGTTGTCGTTGTCCTGTTTATGGGTCATCCATCCTGTAGGAAACTCACCTTTCTGAGGCTGGCAACACTGGAAATGCAAGTTGCCTTTCTGTCTAATCCTTGGGTTACCTGTGGGAAAAAATCTGCACTCACTGAGTAAAGTGTATTTAAGGCTCACAGATTTAGTGCAGATGCTGTTTTAAAGTGGTAACGTTGGCTCAGCAAAGCAGCGTGTAGATCACTGTAAAGCTGGTATTTAAAACAAGGGGGGAAGTGGAGTAAAAAGCTTTTTGAGAGTATTTCTTTTTTCTGAAAGAAATAAGGTGGGCTGACCTGAGAGTCTGAAGACATGTATTGTCCTTGTATTTCCATAGATGAACATTTTTGTTTGTCCTCTTCTCCAAAGTAGCATTTAATACAGAATTTGAGTTTGGAAGTGAATTCTGCATGTTGCTCTACTTCAAGTACATGACGCTGTATGTAGAGTCCTACCAAAGGATTTCAGGTTCCAGGATGGGGTATCTGTGTAGTATGGAGGGATGGGAAGATACAACAGTGTTTTTGTGGCCTCCAAGGCTGATGAGAGATGAAGGGATCTGGGCTAACGCTTGCCTACCCAGACACATCCCTGTGTACGGGGATGACATTTCAATCCATGGTAGAAGCCCTTGGGAGAGCTCCTTCTACTGCAAGTCTAGACATGGAGCAAAGATCCACACATCCCAGGGCCACCAGTACTTGTCTCATCTGCTTCCCTCACAGCTGAGCAAGCACAGCAGCCCCAGCCAGAGGAGACAGAAGGTGGGAGATGAGAGTGGGAAAAGCATGTAGGAGCAGCCAGCCCCACTCTTCAAATCCCCGCTCTTCAACACTAGAAACGCAGCCAACGTGGTGCAGTACCATTCTCCTGTCCTCTTTGCCATGGTCTGCCTGTACATCCTGCTAAGTGTGTTGGTAGAATAGGTGTTAATCCATGGCCTGGGGAAAGGCTTACTTAAATGGCAGGTGTGAAAGTCATTAGTTAGGCATGCAGATGCCTGTTAGGAGAGGAACAGAGGAACACAGGCACCCCACCTCACCACTATCTAAAGTGCTTTCTGTTTATGCAACATTGCCTCGTTGTTAATCAGATTAAATGTCATAAGATGCTTTTTTTAGATACAGAGAGTGTACTTGAGATAACTGGGTAGTTTAACCATCAGTGCAGTCTCAGTGTTAACTTGTTGATATAAGTATTGTTCCCGTTGTTTGATTAGCACGTTCTTAACGCTTCTAGTCAACAGCAGATGGTATTTTTTTTTAATAATAGCTTCCCTTATATTTGTTTATAACCTTTAAAAGGGGTAACTAGTTGATTTTCTTTCATTTCCTTCAGTATTCACAGGGTTTGGTACATTATCCTAGCATTACACTCTTAAATTTAATCTCATACTTTCAAATAATCCATCAGGTGGGTTACTGAAGGCAAAAAAGCTTTTGGTTTTGGTTTGAAGGCATCAAGATAGAGAATTAACCACTTCCCTTGTTGTTCTTTTTCAGTGGTAAATCATCTTTACTTTTACAAACATGTGCCTGTTTTCTGTATAACTTTGTCTAACTTCATTATCTGCTTGTTGGCTTTTATAGGTATCCCTTTCTAACTAGATATATAAATGTAATAGCAGAGTATGAAAGGGAGAGCTAAAGCTTCCACAGACTTTAATTTCAGTTTTGATCACCTGTCGTTGCCTTTTTGAAAGTTAGAGCACGCTCATATATGTGGCGGTAACAGCACAGCATGTACATGGCAGATTGGCTGGATTTCCTGGAAGCTCTACATGTGCTCTGTAGAGTGGATCAGTGCCTGTTCTCTGAACGTCTGAAATTTTTGTATGAGCATCAGGATGAATAAAGCTGTGCCATGGCTTTGATTGGAGCAACACAGTGTAGTCATTCCAGGCAAACAGGAATAACATTTACTTTGACTCTGAAGTTCCAGGTGGAAAAAAGAGGCTGTGTCTGAGAAAACTGAGCTCGGTGTAATTTTGCTACCATCTCATCTGTAGGCTTTCATCAGGTTTGGCATTTCATCAGGTGCTGCACATTTTAAAGTCCACTTGAAAGTTCAGCTTGCTTTGGGAGCTTCAGCTTTGGTAGACTTAGTGTGGCTATTATACTACTATTTGTAGAGCTATGCTTCATAAGTAAATGGGAAGGACCACTGTGGGGTTTAGCATTCAGCATACTGCTTTGTGTAGCAGGACACATTCGCGCTCAAGCAGGTTTCTCCTCTGCCAGAAGTGGACACGTTGCAAAGACAGCTCACCCATGCTCTTCAGGGAAGGAGGAAATTGGCTGTGGTGATCAGTGGGGGCTGCCTTTGCCAAGCCACCAGCTTTGTTGGTAGAACTCAGAACGGTCTTCATTGATGGGAAAGTCTGGTCTGTGATCAGCTTGTGGAAGAGCAAGGATGTGTTCTACCACAGCAGAAGTGGTATGAAAGCATCCAGCTCTGTCTGTCATAACAGTATTTCTCCCTCTTACAACTGTATGTGGTTTTTAGACCATATAGAATTACACACCTAAATCCAAAGCAGGGAATGGGAATTCCAATATCTTCTCAGAGGCGAGAGTGTATTTAACATGCTTCAAAAGCTTTACAATAAAACGAAGATGTAAGGTCATTATTATATTGACATTTTGGGCATATCAGAAACAGAATTAACTCACTCTCTCTTCAACACCAAAGGCTTTTTAATGCCATCATACTTTACATCTGTTTCTACCCTGCTTTCCCACAGAATATAAACTGAAAACCAAAATTACAGTCTTCATCTTCAAGGCAGAGTAAATCCTTTGGGCTGAATTTTCTACTATATAAGTCAAATTCCTCTGCATAGATAAGTCTGCTTTCAGTCAGCCACACAGCTTCAAGTCAAGAACCCTCCAAACTAAGAATCTTTATACATTACCTTCCAAGTGCAGGCTGCAGTTTTTTTAGTCTGTCTTCTCAATAAAAAAAGAAAAGCCTTACCAAACAAAACTTAGGAGAACAGTAAACAAAATGAAGTGTATCTTGCATGTTAAATTGTATCCATATTCCTTGATGTATGGCTAAAAATTGCTCAGACACTTAGAAAATGCAATAGCACAGGCTTCTGAAGGGGGCACCAAAAAAATTTCTCAGATTCACATATAGTAACTATTACATTTATTCTCTGGTTTTGTGCAGAGATCATCTTGCAGGAAATTATGTACATACTGGGTTTTTGTGTATAGATAGGGTGTTTACCAAAAGTGTTTAGAGAGCATGAGTATCTATCACCCTTTTGCAAAATCTGTCATTCTCAAATCAGTTTCTCAGAAATCAGTCAGATGTAGAAATTTTGGAAAAATACCGTCTTTCCCTTTTCCAGTTATAGTTTCCATTGCCTCTTTTCTGCAGAAGGTGATCTTATGGATTGTGATGGAAAATCAGATTCCAGCCCAGAACGGGAAGCTGTGGATGATGATACCAAAGTGGCAGAAGGAGCTGATGGGATTAAAAAAAGGAAGCGTAAACCATATAGACCCGGTAGGATACAATAATTTATACGATTGGGTGTCCCTTGTTTGTTTTAACACTTTTTTTCTGTGTAATTAAAAAAAAAAAAAACAACTAAGAAAACAGTATGGAATTCTGAAGTATTCTACTGCTAATTGTTGATTTTAGATTTTTCCCCCTGTTCTGTTTGAAATAACTTTTAGTCCTCTTATCAAAATGTCAAAGGTTGCTGCTCAGCATTACACCTGTTCTTAGTATGCTGTCAATTATTGATCAGTAGTTCAAATCTATACCTTGTATTGATTCTTAACTTGATAGGAAAATGATCTGTATATATATAATTGATGAAGACCAGGGTTTTTTTGTGTGTGTGTATATATAGATGTCTGGCAATATCTGAACCTCAGAGAACTTTTTGCAGGTACCTTATTTTTTGAAAAATTTGATAAGAGTAGTTTACTAAATATTTGCAGATGACTTCTGGCAGTGAATTTTAATGAATTCAGTTATTGGATGAATTAATTTATTTTAATTTATTAGTGCAGCCGACTCTTAATTATCTTGACTGTGGAGATTAACTGTGTGTCCTGGGTGCAGAAACACTTGAGCTGTCTCCAGGCAGAAAAAGTTAGAAGTACTTAAGTGACTCCATAGGAAGTAGCTCTGATTCATTAGGGCTAAAACTGAACCCAAGATAATAAGCTCTGCTGAGACACCACCTGGCTTTTTGAAAAGCCCCTGTATCACATACCTTGGTATGTCTCAGAATCTGTGTTAACATGTTGGTTTTGTGTTTCATTATGCAGCCTCCCACTACTGTGGATAAGAAGTTGATTGTAGTCTTTGCAGTCACAAATACTGTTTACGCCAGTCACACCCATCCTGCTTGCTGTAACGGGCCATATCCTGTGATTATGAAGATAGTAGGGGAGGAGAACAGAGGCAATGAAACGATTGAGGAGGTGAAGGCAAGGAATACAGTGAAGGAAGGAAAGGAAGCAGGAGTTACAACACGGTCCAGTTCCTCTTGCTTCTCTCTCAGAAGCTAAACAGATCTCTACCGCCTTTTACCCTTCCCATGTCATTTCCCACTCTGCTAAGAGCCCTGTCTCAGCAGGTCATGCCCATGTGTATATTGCCTTCCATCATGGGCCCATCCTAGGGAGATGGTGGTACAACCCCACATCACTTAACAGAGATTTCCTTTTTCTCTACAAATAATGTACCTCAACAAGCCATTTATTTCCACCTTTGGGTCCTCAAGAGAAGAGAGTTTCATTTGCTCGGACTGGTTTTGGATCCTGAGTTGAGCAGCCATCTGTTAGTTTTCTGCAGCCAACAATTTCCCTGAAAAATGAAACAAACCTGAATCTGATGCATGTACATACACACACACCAACTGTAGAGGACCAGGAGCACTGCAGTCAATGTCTAGTGAAGGATTCTGGAGTTTCAGGCAGTATGATGTTGACTAATTATCTTTTTATTTTGTGATATGTCCTTCTCTAGTACCGTCATTTGGAGTGGTGGGCTCTCTAGAGCAATTTGTAGAGTTTTTTTATGGTCCTTTAAGGTTCTTTAATAGGTTTCATTTGGTGGATTGACTTCTAATTCTAGCAATTCATCAGCTTGCCAAGGGAGGGGAAAAACAACATCTGAAAGTTGCCAGGTTTGGTGATTTGAACTTCTTGTGGATATTTTACAGTCCTAAAATTCTGATCCTGTTTGCTAATTACATATATACCCACCGAGACGTTAAAATTCAGAAATGTTTTGTAAAACTCCAAGTAAAAACTCCGCAAGTATCTCAGATTCATTCTTAGACCTTTACAGATGCAGAAGTCCCCTTTACCTGAAGAATAATCTTGGCTCTCATGCTTACTGTGAAACACAGTTTTAATCAATATACTGAATTTTTGCTTCATTGTTAGGTATTGGTGGATTTATGGTACGTCAGAGAAGTCGTACGGGGCAGGGGAAGACTAAAAGATCTCTCTCCAGGAAAGATTCTTCTGGATCTGTTTCTGAGCAGTTGCCTGGCAGAGATGAAGGTAAGTGCAAAAACTTATTTTTAAATTTTTGTTCATGCTTAATGCAGTAAAAATAATGCAACTCATCAACATACGATTCTTTCCAGAGATGTGCTACAAAGGAAAAAGTTTTTTGTGTTTGTCATGATGGCTTTATTAATTCGACTGAAAATACTCATTCCTGCATACTTAAGAGTTTCAGCAGAGCCCATGATTTACAAAGGCACTGAAACAATGACTTGCAGGCTATTGTGGGAGATAAATAGTGAGGATTGTAAGGACTGCTGTATTGTGTCGGAGCTCTGTTTAGCCTAGCTTTGACTAGTAGAAGACAGAAGCGTAAGAAATGAGGTAGGTTTAGAGCAATCTTCTTTCTGATATGCCTTCTTCCAGATGTAGTCCTGATCCAGAGGTGTCTTCTGGACCATCGGTTTTAATATTCACCAGTCTGCTGTGTTGCACAAATGTGTCTGATATTTTCATGTTTCTGTTTATGCTCTGGAAAATTCTATGTTAATGAGTTCAACAATATAATAGTGTTGCATGAAGAAATAATTCCTTCTTATTTTAAACTGGATATCTGAGAGTTTCATAAGCTACCCTTGTGTTTTATGTTATGAAAGTTGATTTTAAAAAATCATTCCATATTTGTAATACAGAAAGATTTTCTAGACATGTGTCATATTCCCCCATCAGTTGTTGTCTTTTCCAGGGCTGAAGAATCCTACTCTGTATGGTCTCTCTTCTCATAGCAAAGCCATTTTAATGCCCCTGACACTGTAGTACTCAGTAGATTGGGCACCTAACAAGACGTCAGGTTTTGGTTTTGGGCCTTGTTCTCTTGCTTGCTGTGTGTGATTAGACTAAATTATTTCATCCATCTGGATTTGTTCACACTATCTAATCTATAAAATATTGAGGTATCATTCAGTTGAGATGTGGAATATGTTTAGTTCAGAGCCTGTTTCCTATAAAGTTAGTAGGAGGAGGCAGCTGCTTCTAAAGGTTGGCTGATACCATCTCAGTTAGAAGGCTCTGGCCTTTGATTTCTCCTATTATTGTCTCCTGTCTGTTCAGCTGTTGTGTTTTTAACCTTTCCAGAACCAGATCAGTCTCTTGCTATATATTTGTACAACATGGTGGAGACCGGACCTTTACTACAGCATCCAGGCAGTATTAAAAACTAACAGTTAAATGTTGTCCTTGCTTGCATTTGTAGAACTGCTTTATGAAGCCAACAAATGTGTCTTTTATCAGTGCAACCCAGTATTCTAGCTAGGTCCCCTATTCAGGTATAGTGCTTGCTTTTTCTTTAATATTAGTGTTATAGCTATGTTTTTCTGCTTATTAAATATTATTTCAGTATAGCATACTACATTGTTTCAGGTAGTGCTGAAAATTTTGCTGTAAAGTTTTTAATTTCTGTAGGGATCTGCTCCTTTAAGTAAAAAAAAAAAAGTCTAAAAAGTTAATTCCCTGTTCTGGGTAACAGTACAATGCATATTGTTAAAAAGCAGTATTCTAAACAAGTATTTTTCAGTTGAAAGTTTGAGCTTCTTTTTGTCTGCTCAGGCACAATTGCTTGTTAAGAAAAAAATAACTCAGAAAAATCTTGTATGTTTTAAATCATCATAGCTTGCTGAGAGCCTGCTTCTCAGCTGCCAGTGCTCATCAGCCTTACCAAGTTTTTTGCTACTCTTGTCATGTTCCATCCCCCTTTCTCTGCAAAAGCTCACTCTCAAACAATGCAGAGGTCGCGGTGTTAGCAAGCCTTATTCTACTCCCTGTCCTCTGAATATGGTACAAGAGATCACTGCAGTACAAAGCATAGCTGATTTTACTACCACTATAATACAGTTTCTTAAATAACTTCCCAGGGTCGTTAACTTCATGTAATTAGCTTTGGCAAGACAGAAGTTGCAGGACTTAAAAAGTTCTGCTTTTACCTGCAGTGTTTTCCCTGGTCTGTTGAAATAAAATACTGAATGATTGATGAGCACTGTGTGCTTTTGTGTTTATTAGAAAAAACAGTGCCAGTTTGGAATATGATAGCTGAATAAATGTGTAATTTTTCTTGAAGGGCTTCTTTATAGATTTCTTTTTCTAGCCTGTTCATTATTTATACGACAGTCTTTTCTCAGATTTAAAAAAAAAGTTTTTTACTTTTAATTTGAGGAAAAATAGTGTATAAAATGAAAGGGGATTAATGTGTAACTCAACATTGATGATTTTGGAGATAGTACTTCAGTGGAATTATCTTTCAAATATCTGGTTGAATGGCACCTATAATTTCTCTCAAATTACCAAATTCTTAGGTGGCTTGGAGATACGAAAGTTAAAGGTCTGTCTTCAGCCAGTGAGGTACAACAAGGTAGCGATGTGACTAGTATCACGTATGGTATTTCTTACTGCCAGAGCCCAGATGATCAGGTGGCAGTTCACAGCTGCCTAGATAAAAGCCACCTTTAGAATACATCTAGAGTGAGATTCAGTAAACCCACGCACCCAGATAGGTAGCAAGATATGTTAGGTATATCTGCCACTGTGCCTTTAGAGCAAGGTACTGAGTATTTTATTTGTGCCTGAACATTACTTTTTTAGGTTGGACAGAACAGCTGCCAGACACTCCAGTTGAGGAGTCTACCCCAGCTTCTGAAAGTACGGAGAAAATAAAAAAGCGTTACAGAAAAAAGAAAAATAAACTTGAAGAAACCTTTCCTGTCTACTTGCAGGTAAAGCTATTGGTATACCTCTTGTGTAAATACATTGAAGACCCTAATCTTTATATGTGTTGATTCATAGTTCATTTAAACCATTAACATTTCTTTTCAGATTCCCATTTTACCATTCAAATGGAATGGGTTTTCTGTAAAAAACATTCATAAGTTTGTACAGAAAGCTGTATATTATGTTAAATCTCCAGTCCTCTGGTGTTACTTATTCTGAGAGGGGGAGAAGCCGGGGGAAGAAGCCTTTCTTTTCTCTCTGAACTGACACATGACGTTTTCAGCATTCAACTATGTAGGTTGTCTTAGCCTGAATGTGACGTCTCCTCAAGATACTAATTTTTCTTTTCAGAAGGCTATAGAACATGATTTGATAGGAGAAACTTGTTTTCCTAGAATTTTGTGGTTTTATATACCCTGCATCTCCCTACCACAACAATCTCTGCCCCATTAATTCTGTGATGTCCCCGGCAAGTAAGAGGTAGCATTCGTGGATAACATCTGGGATACTAATGATGATGGAGCAACTTACCTACGTTCAACTGGTTTATAAACTAACTGGTTTATATATGTCTCTCACTGAGAACATTATTTGGCTTGCTCTTCTTCTCAGCCACCTTTTTCATGAAAACTTTATCATCTTGTAGATGTTCACCAAACTTTATGACACAGATTATATTGGGATTGAAGGCAAGGAATTGACAGAGAGGCACAACAATCTCTGTCTGAAAGTAATTTGTATTTCGTAAGTGGGGAAGTGAGTTGGAAAGAAAATATTTAAGCAACATTTCCTTTGAGTTAGTAAGGATAAATATTTTTTTCTTAATGCACATTTTACTCCTGTAAAACATACTATTTCTTAGATTCTTCTTTTGCTCATGTTGGAATAACTGCTACTGAAAAATCTATGTTTAGCTTTATTTTTAGCAGCTGTATCCTAAATCCAGATTTTAAAGACTACATGAAAACAGAACTTACATAATGCATAAAAATTGGCTTGAAAATTTGATAGGTTGTTTTCAAATTACTTCATACTCATGCTTAGGTGAGTGATAGCTGCGATATACTATTGTAAAAGATACTAATACAAGTTAAACAGCTTTAGGTGTTTTGTTACTGCAGTTCGACGTTAGGATGATTTTGTGTGAAGTGAGATACAGTGTATGGTCATTTTAGGATTTGGACCACAATGTGCTTGCATGTTTTTCATAAACTTCTTGTGTGGCCCTGATCAAGTTGCTCAGTAGTATTCCCCTTCTTCAGCTGTCCTTTTTGTGCGAGGAGAAATATTTTAAATACTGACAAACTTGTGATATATAACAGCACTGTATTGGTACACTGTCTGTGCCACATACACATAAGACGACTGTATTTTTTCTATATAATTTAAGGTGTGAATTTAGTCATAAAAGTAGCTACCTCTTGTAACTTGTACCCGCGCCTCATAGCCTGGAAGAGATACTGCCATACTGGAAGGCGTGTGAGACTGTATTTTTGTATTTCTAGTAATCATTGGCTTTTAATTTTAACTTTGCTGCTGACCCAACTTTTTCAATAGATAGTATTCTTCCTCCATTGAATCATTTTGTCTTCTTTGCAGGAAGCTTTCTTTGGGAAAGACCTACTAGATACCAGTAGACAAAACAAGATGAGCTTAGATAATTTACCTGAAGAATCACTTCCACTCTCATGTAAAACAAACCTGACCACCAATTTCCTGGATCCTTCATCTGACCCCCTTCTTAGCTCAACCTCCACGCCAGCTCAGGCAAAACTGGGACCTCAAGGTATACAAAGCTAAAGTTAGTGATAATTCAGTAGTTTGATTTTGTTGTTGCAACTGAGGCTTTTCACTTTCCTTTCCACTTTTCTCACAATGTTTATCTGGTGTATTTGTCAACATTCTGTATATTAACTGTCCTTGTGAGGTTCAGTTACATTGATAATCAGTGATACTCAGCTCCAGGGCTTCAGCTTTTTCAGAAAGAGCAGTGGATGTCACAACAATTGGCATTTGATGCAAATCTGACTGTAATGTCCATGTCTATAAAATCCATGAAAATTAATTCTGTGTAAGAATAAGCATACAGATCCATTATAGAAGACGACAAAAATAATCTAATTAAAATATATTTTTAGTAGTCTAGTGAATATTAGTTGGATGAATATCATCCAACTTTCATTTTCTTTAATGTTTTAGATTATTTTAGGTTGCCAGTCTCCTCGGAATTTTTGGTTCACCATGTCCTTTCTGAACATGAGTGCCCTTTGCAGGTACAGTTTGTAGCCCCTAGGCAATCTTTTGCTTTTGCTATTGCAAAACCTTACTGAAATTACTGCCGAGAGTTTTGCAAATTAGCCAGAGAGTTGTAAAATGCTGCTGAAAGGGCAGCTTCACACAAAGGAGCAATTGAAAGTGAAAACCTTACTGTCCCCTCCAAATTATTTTTTATTCTGTGTCTTGCAGTATGTGCTGTTAGCTAGAGGTGTCTTACCACTCTGTATTTTTAAACTGTTACTATTTCTTGTGTATGTTAGTTAATTTGTGGCTTGAGTTTCAGGTCGTCCTCCCAAATTTTTCCATCTAAAAATGGTTACACACATTGATGTAGTTTCCTGTGTCCAGAGAGTCATTTGAAGAGAGGTTGCTTATTTGTGATTGTTACTCGGTGAAAATCTGCTAAATGAAAAGCAAAAGGCTACGTTATAATTAAACATTGATTGTTACACAGTTGAAATTGTGAGTAACAGAGAATGCAAACGTTCACTTCCCCTGAAGGGGAAACTGCTGCAAATGGAGTGTTTCCAGGTCTGTATTTTATTGGTTCCAACACTACAAGAAAATACGCTCATGTAGACTTTTTTTCACCCCAGCATTCTTCTGAAGCCAGAGAAGTACAGATTCAGAAGTCTTTGCGGGCCTATCCAACTGCAAGATTAAAGTCATTAATGTTCATTTATTATGGTAGTATAAGGTTTTAGAAATTCATGAACTTGATGTTAATTTAATGTTCTATTTTTCCAAAGTTTGGAAGGAATTTTTAAAAAAACCTGTTCTTTATGAGTAAGCGAAGTTGTTAAACTTTGTCATTTCCTCTTCTTTTTATGCAGAAATAAATCATACTGAGGTGGCTGTTAATAAAGAAATCACTAGCAGCAGTTTTAGAGGATAGCCTACTGTCTTTCCCATTTTATATATGAGAGACTCAAAGGACAGTGCTTTCTGGCCATAGGAATGTTCTCAACAATTGTCTCTCAACTGTTCAGATTTCCGGCCAAAATTGTGTCCAGACGGAGCTGTTTGTTGTAGTTGGAGCACCAGTGGGTGAAGTCATCTGCCAATATTGATCAGTTCCAGTGCAATTTTTCTTAACTCTTTCACTGTGACTTTGTGGGAGACACTTATTTCTGCAGTAGCGTCCACACATATGAGAGAGCCAGACTCATTTTGAGTGGTGGAGACCCTGGTAAATTGGCTGACTGCTGAGCTAGCAACAGTCACATCTTCCCTTCTGGCTGGCATTGCAGAGGAGCTGGAGGTGAGAACAGTGTCCAGGAGCACCTGTGATATTTTCATCTTTTCGATACAGACCTGGCTTTGGAGCTGGAACAACAGGAACTGCTTTATTCAGTGCACAGGGAGGCTGTAGGACCATATTGTTACTGACTATGTTATTTTCCTACAGTGCCATTTCTCACAAGGATTGCTGACTCCTGTGAGAGCCCTGGCTTAACTGGATCGGTCTTTTCCACAAGGAATATGTTCTTCTCTTGGAAATTCCACTTTAATCCCAGGATTAAGGGTTCGATATACTTGTTCATCTTCCAAAGAGCTCTCAAGCATCTAAAGAGGAAGTTACTCTGCCTGCTTTGCTTTTCAACATGTGCATAGGGCTGCTAGGGAGTCGAACAGTGATGTGTTCAATCTGCTCGTGAACTGACAGTGACACATTCTGTGACTGTTTATTCTCAGAGCATGGTTAAGGGCATGGTTAAGGCAATGAAGCTTTTGCTAGACGAGATTGCAGTAGTGATGGGGATTGGCAGAGCCAGCCAGAAGAGGGTTTTTGGAGTCCTTTGTTTACTATTAATTTCTACTAACTGTGACTGAAGTGAGCTTTAGGCTTCCAGTCCTGATTTGTGTCTGGCAAAGAGGTTGCAGGTTTTCTTTTCAGTTACAAGACTCGCTTTTCCCGTGGTTTTATAACGTGTGGCACCCTACTCGGTGTATTCTGCATGGGACCAACCCTTAAAATAATTTCCAAGACAGCGCTAGAGCAGAGTGTGAGGGATTGCTCAGTGTGAACCCAGAGCACCAGATCTCCAGGGTCTCCCTGGTTGTTCATGGGTAAAGTTGAAGGTGGTCATTGGGATTTGTTGCGTCCTGAGTGGTCTGAGGACTGTCCACATCTCTCGAGTTTCTTGACCTGGGTGTCTCTGGTGAAAAAGAGGCCACTTGGAGAGGTGTGTTCTGTGAAGACTCTGACAATGTTGATCTTTCCTTTAGTTTGAAATAGCTTAAATTCAGTGTATTTTTTCTAGGGATGCTGAAAAGTCATCTGTTTAAGTAGGGTTTCCAGAGAATGCTAAAGAAATTCTTCCTAGACAAAAGGAGAGGAGTCGTCTGAATCTCTGTGCAACTGACTCAAATGCTGGTGGTACATTGTATAACTAGATAACGTTATTGCGTGATTAAACATCTTAGGGTGGCTGCAGCCTTGGGGGAAGCGTTTTTATTCTTTTAGAACTTCATAAATAAATGGAAGTAAATGCATTGGAAGAATCAGGATCACGAGATAGCAGTAGAACTGTTCTCTCTTAGACACCCAGCATTACAAGCAAATTATTTTCCTTTTTGCTTTGTCTTTGTTTTCCATTCTGAAAGAGTCAAATTAATGAGCAGTACTGAGCTATTTGTTTGGCAGCAGATGTCAACCAGCTATTGATTCTGATCTGAAGCAGCTGACTAAAGTGATTTAGTTGTTTCCAAGATAATATTTAGCACAAATGGAATTAAAACGAGGAAAAAAAAAAAGAGACAACAAATGTAAAAATATGCTTTAGATTAGATGTCTTACTTGAGACTTAGGGCTCATAGAGTCTAGCCCTCTGCTATCACTAACACTCAGCCTTTTTATAGACTTAACAAGCTCCATTTTGAAAGCAGGTAGCTTTTTTCCAACCTACTAATCTCATCGGAAGGCCATTACAAAATCTGATTGCCTTAATAGTTAGGAGCCCTCTAATTTGAAGCCTGAATTTATTCACAGCCAGTTTGTAGCTATGGGTGGTAAACTCTTCAGTTTTATCTTTCCACCTGAGCTCTTTCCAGCTATTTATTCAATATATTTATATTCAAACTGGAAGCTGAATTTTTAGGGACTGTTCCTAAGCACATTACTAAGGGCTGTGGAGAAAAACACCGTAACATAAAATACTACAGAAGAATTAAAAGCTACTAATACAGTCTCGGTGCTTCCTTCATAAGGGCTTTTTTCTCCCCGATACTTACCTGCCTTCAAGTAGGAATTCAGGAAGGGTAAAGAACAGCTAAAGTCAATCCTTTGCCTACCAGCCAGCTGAAGTCATTAACATCATCTTGCGGTGCCTGGTGTTAGTTACTTACTTGAATAATTGGTATTAGACCAAATTGCCAGAAGGAAAACAAGTATCTCAAAAAAACCACACACACACACACACAAAAAAAAAACCAAACCAAAAAAAAACCCCAACACAAAACCCAACAACTAGGTTCTGTTTAAAACCTTACATTTCATAGTACTTTTTATCAGGTACACAAAATAACTATACCCACAAAGTGATGTGGTTTTGAGGCACTTTTTAATACTTCTCCTGATATCAATAGGAGCTGAATTCTTCATGTACCTCTAAGTACACTGGTCTGCACTGGCACATTGAGCCACCTAGTTGAGTAGCAAACTTAAAACATGATTTAATTAGGATGGTATCATCTTGTCTGCATTACAAAGGATAATAATAAAGAATAGTGAAGGGAAGAAGAATAATTTTCATTTTGACCTTCAGTAATGGTAGAAGGGTTGTCAGATTGTCTCTGAAAAGCAGCAGAAGGAACACTTAAATCACTGTAAAATTTAGCAGCTTGGAAAGTAGCCTCATGATATAAGTAAATCCTTGGCACCAGGCCTCTGAGTTAAGCTAGAAACACTTTCCTGGGGCAGTTGGGTTGTAACAGTGGGAAAGGTAACCCATATATCTATGAAATATGTTTGCTCTTTGACTTTCTGGTCCCTCTTCAGCCTGTCTGTATTTGTTTTCCACATTGTACGTTGTATGATTTGTATCAGTCCCTTTTCTTTAATTATGTGTGTATTTGTATATTTTACCATCTCTTCATGATTCATTGGTCTTGCTCATGTAGTCATGATAGTCTGCAGTTTTTCTGAAAAATATTTTTCTCAACTTTTATTTATTTGTTAAACAATTTTCTTCAAATGCTGCACATCTGTAATAGTCCTAAAAAACTAGTTAATGAAACCAGATGGGCCATTTGGAGTCATTTCTCTCTAATGAATTGGATGTCAATGTCGTGGTTTAGCCCCAGCCAGCAACTCAGCACCACGCAGCCGCTCGCTCACTCCCCCTACCCCGATGGGATGGGGGAGAGAATCGGAGGAGTGAGAGTGAGAAACACTCCTGGGGTGAGATAAGAACAGTTTCATAATTGAAATAAAGTAAAACAGTAATGCTAATAGTAACAGTATAATAATGATAATAATAATAATGATACACGAAGCAAGTGATGTCCAATGCAATTGCTCACCACCCGCTGACCGATACCCAGACAGTTCCCGAGCAGCGATCGCTGCTCCCTGGCCACCCCCCCCCAGTTTCTATACTGAGCATGACGTCATATGGTATGGAATCGCTCTTTGATCAGTTTGGATCAACTATTCTGGCTGTGCCCCCTCCCAGTTTCTTGTGCGCCTGGCAGAGCATGGGAAGCTGAAAAAGTCCTTGACGAGCATAAGCAGTACTCAGCAACAACTAAAAACATCAGCGTGTTATCAA